TTGAAGGCTACGGTGGCCGCGTCGAGGTCGTAGTACGCCTTGGCTTCCGGGCGGATCTTGACAAACTCCGACATGTTGCCGACGTACGTCTTGAGCTTGCGGTTCTTCTCGTAGTGAATGATGTTGGTGCAGACGTTGTCGAGGAAGCCCGAGTCGTGCGACACAATGAGCGACGTGATCGTCGTCATGGACGTGAGGTACTTTTCAAGCCAGGCCACGTTGGCGACGTCCAAGTGGTTGGTCGGCTCGTCAAGCAGCAGAATGTCGGCCTTCTGAAGCATCGCGCGAGCGAGTTCGAGCTTCATCTTCCAGCCACCCGAGAGCGACCCGACGGCCTGCGCCTGCATCGCGTCCGTAAACCCGACCGAAGAAAGAGTATCCGTGACCTCCTTCCGAGCCATGTCCTTGAAATCCGGATCGTTCAACACAAAGTCGACGACCGAGAGCTCAGCCTCTTCCGCCTGCAAGTTGTGCTCGACGTACACCGTCTTGAGCTCGTCCTTCGACGGGAAGCCCTCGAGCTGGCCGTTGGCGATCGCACGCATGAGCGTCGACTTGCCGCAACCGTTGCGACCGCAGAGACCGTACCGGTGGCCCTTCTTCAAGTTGAGACGCGCGTTGTTGAGGAGGATCATGCCGCCGTACGCGAGCGAGAACTCGCAGTCGCAGAGGTCTTCGCCCTCGTCTTCCTGGACGACGTCTTCGGCGACCTTGACCTTGTTGTCCTTGTAGCACTTTTCGCGGAAGCCCTTGGTGATGGCGGGAATGTCGCCTTCGGCCAAGAATGCGCTCAGGTACGGCTTGACCGAGTTGGACCACTCCTCGGGCTTGAAGTTGCGCGCTACCGTGAGGTACAAGCCGCAGCCCGCGACAAAGTTGAGCGTCGCGTCGTCGATCTTGGCCTTCTTGGCCTTGGCGTCCTTCTCCAAAATGAACTTGAGCGTCTGCAGAATCGAGTCGAACTCGATCTTGGTCTCGTCTTCCGAGAGCTCGACCGACCCGGCGGCCATGAAGAGCGTCTCGTGCGCACGTGTGCACACGTCGCGGCACTCGGGGTCGGCGACAGCTTCGATGATGCGCTTGAGCGTCGGAAGGACTTTCGGCGTAAAGAGGAGTGCTTCCGCAGGCTCTTCGACGAGCTTGCACATGTTGTCGATGATGACAGCAGTCTGGCGCTTGACCGACGTCTTGTTCTCGTTCAGACCACGGACGAGGAGCGGCTCCATGATGGCGAGCGCCGGCGCCTCGACCGTCTTGACAAACGTCGTCGACGCGAGCTTGTGCACGCACTCGGAGACCTCGGCCGGGTTGGCAATGCACGAGATGAGCGCGGGAATGAACGGCTCAATGTCGGCGTTCGAAGCCGTGCTGCACGCCTTGATCATGACGGCGTGGGCGGCCTTCTTGACTTCGGGGCGCGTGTCCCACATTTGCTCGGTGGCGTTCGGGATGATGTCGGGGAGGCAGCGCGAGACCTGGACAGACGCCACGTCGGCGAGCTCCGCGAGCAAGTTGAGCGCGCCTTCTTTCGTCTGCCACTTCTTCGTACGGTCCATGCCGCCAAAGATGTGTGGCAACAGCACGCGGATCGCATTGTGGTTGACCGAGTCGACAATGGCCTTGGCGGCCTCGGCCGCCGGACCCCGCACTTGGATCTTCTTGTCGGCGTAGCCGTCGAGGACGTTGCCGAGGAGCGGCGAGAGGTATGGCTCGAGACGCGCGAGCTTCTTCTTGGCGAGCGCCGTCACAATGTGACACGCGCTCTGGCGTGTGCCGGCATCGGCGTCGACGAGCGCGGCGTTGAGCTGGTCCGTGACAGCGCCGAGGTTGGCGTCCTTGGCGCCGGCAATGACGTCGGCGACCTTGACGGCCGCGACGTCGAGGTTTTCGGGCGCCGTCGCAAAGGCTTGCTTGAGCGCCTCGGTGACATTGCCACCGTTACCGGCCTTGGGACTCGCCGCCGCGGTCGCGGTCGCGTTCGTGGGGCTCTTGGCTTTCGGGCTCTTGGGCATGGCGGCGAGGTGGCTAGTAGTCGCTGGACTTCTTGGCAGGTGCGAAGCGCACGGTCAAAAGATAAATGAACTGCGCTGTGAAATGCGTTGGCACCGCGATGGCGGGCTAAATGTGGGCGATGGGGGGCCGTGGGGGGGGGCCATTGGTCGGTATATTTACGCGCGGTTGGCTTTGCAACCGATGCGTATTAAGATTGGTGGAGCGCGCTCAACGCGATGCACAGCCTGCATGCAGGCTTCTTTTATCGAAGGGATCGTTTTAGGCAGCTCCTCATGCCATTCTCAACGCGCCGCTGTCCGCCGTTCTCCAGGCGCCTACTGTACTCGTGATTTTGAAAACAGCATATGACCGAGGAACATACTGCGTGCCCTATTCGGATTCAACCATGATTTCTATCCTAAATAATCCTTGGATACTGGATACGTGGTGATGGATTGCGACCGTGCAAGCGCGCGCCATGCCTCGGCGGCACAACGTTTAACGCACTTTAACCTCAAACCGTTGCTTGCCGCAGCCGTCTCTACTTCTATGTTTTTACCATGGCACCGTTCGACCAGTGTACAGTATACTGAACTCTGGCATGCACAAAGGCATGTTCTACCCTCTAACATATTGCGTTCAACGAGATGCTGGAGCTTGCGAGCGGGGTGTTTGCGGTGGTTAGTTCTCCATGCGTCGTTGAATAGCCAGTTGGTTGCGTTGTGGCGCGAAAGCCACGCAGCGCGCCAAGCCAAGTAGCAGATGGCGCTGTCGACGCTGAGGCGGCGGCTGCGATTCGTGGTCGTCGGCGCCAAATCCCTTTACCGCATTGAAAATGGCGCGGTCGTTTGGCGCCAAATGGGCTGTAACACGTGCCAATCACGGGGGCAACAGCGAAAAAGGCGCCCAGTTTGGATTTCAGCCAATCAGCGACCGAATAGTTGGCACACGAAAGTGGCGCTCCATCTCAAAAATCCAATTGCACAGCCGACGCGACCGCCCTCGACGCCTTCGACTCGACGCCCGACGACGACGACGACGCGCCATGAAGAAGCAGCACCCGCATGCAGGTAGACGCGTCCTCCATGTGGCACGACCTTCCAGCGCTCATGCATGGCTGCTAGGGAGCGACAAGCACACGGCCGACGCCGCCGCCACGATGAGCTGGGACGCCTCGCTCGTGCCCCTCGAAGAAGGCTGGCTCGACAAGATGGACACGACGCTCGCGACGACGGCCGACGCGTTCTTCCATGACCTCGCCTGGTCCGACTCGGCCGACTCGCTCCTCGCGTCGCCCCAGCTCGGCGCCGTCAAGGCCCATCCGCGGGCGAGCCTCACCGAGGCCGAGGCCGCGTTCCAGACGCCGACGAAAGACGGGGCGTTTGCGCTTGGCGCCCGCGCTGACGACGCGCTGCATCTGTACAACATCTCGTGCGACGCGCTCTTTGCGTCGTGCGACGCGACGACCGAATCACCGCAGACGACGACCGACGCCGAGAGCCCGAGCCGGTTATGGGGTGGCTGGGTCTGGGACGACCAGCGCATCTTCTTTCAGGCCATGAAGGCGAAATGGACAGCGCGCGACGGCTTGCAGAAGCGGTGGGACCAACTCAGTAAGAAGATTGCGACCAAGAGCGTGGACCAGATCGAGGCGTTCTTCACCGCCATTGTCGGCCATGTACGCGCGCTGCTCATGTATGGCCAAGTCGCCATGGACGTCCACGAGCCGGACGAGGTGCGCTTGGCTCTCATTTGCTGGTACCGCCTCTTTGCGTCAACGCCCGTGAGCGGCGCCGACCTCGAGAACCCGACCCAGAAGCGCGCGATCGTCCACCGCTTGACCACGTCGTTTCTCAAGAGCCGCAAGCAGATGATCGCGGCCAAGTCGGCGAAGAAGAAGACCGCAAAGGACCCCACCTCCCCCGTTCCTCCGGCATCCACGACGCCACTGACCCCCCTCACAACGACGACGACGCCTGTCCACCATCCATTGGTGCGAAAGAAACGAGCCTTGCCGCTGGCCGAGGTCGAGGCCCCTGAGAAGCGGGTCCGACATGTCCGCAGCCGGGAGTCGTCGCCAGCATCGAGCCCGACGCCGGTGCGCGCGGCGTCCGTGGCGTCGCCTGCGTACGTGTACGACCTCACAACCCCGAGCAAGAAGCGCCAGATCAAGGTGCGATTGGTGCCGATTGACAAGCGCACGCAAGCCGTCGTGAGCCAAACCGGCGCGATGCCAAAAGTCGAGCTCAAGATGAGCAGCAGCAAGCGCATCTCGGACGTATGCGACCACATGATGAAGAAGTGGGTGGCAGTGCTGCCGCTTCTGCCGCCACATTCGACGCTTCGGGTCGTGCCCCTCGGCGACCGGCTGCACCCTGGCTGGGGCACGCATGACATTAGTGTCACATGCCTCGACATCTTCAACCACTGCCGGCAGATCGCGACGGATGGCCTCGTGGATACAGTCACTCTCGAGTACCGCTGGGAGATGGAAGTCAACGATGAGAATGCGTCGCCGTCGTTTCGAACGCCCAACAAGACTGAGTACACGACGCCGCAGCGGGTCAAGCTGCCGCGGCCCACAAACCTGACTGTTGAGAAGCCGATCCCGGTACCATTGGACTTGGACTTTCTGCCATCGCCACACGAGCTGCCCGCGCGGGACCCGCACGACCCGCAGGTCACACTCAACTTTTCAACCGACTTCAACGGGTTCCTCGACGAAGGCCCCAGTGCGTGCTCGGCGCTCATGGACTCGCTCGGTGTGCCACCGTCCATAACGACAACACCGCGCAAGCCCACAAAGCGCATCACACCGACGCTTGTGAAACCCGTGTTGCGGCTCGAGATGCCGCCATCGTCTGTAGTCTAGCCTTAGAAGCCCTCAACTTAACCTATTCCTTGTAACCATAGCAACCGATTCCGAACCGTTAGTTACTTGGCGGCGCTCTCGTGCGCCTTTCGCAAAAGGCGGGCACATGCATCGCGGGCCGACTGCTCTGACTTGTACCGACCGACATACACAGGCGGCTTGTCAGCGTGAAGCCGGACGCGTGCTTCGTACGTGACCTTTCGGCGCACAGTGATGAGAACCCGCGCTGGGTCGTCCGTCGGGCGTTGTCGAGGGCTCGCTTTGAGATCGCTTGGGGGGTCGTACAAGGACGACGATATCGAGGACGTCCGAGGGGAGACCTCGGTCTCTTGGTTGTTGTGGTGGTGGGTGGCGGGGGGCACCCACCGAGAAGAGTTCGTGGGGGACCCTTCGTGGCTTTCGCGGCGAAGTTGCTCGTCCACTTCGTCGTCGGACGACAATTGGCCCAAGCCAGAGTACGGCATCACCGACATATTGGCCTTCTTCTTGGAAGACGATGGCGCGTAGCGCAGCCCATGGGACGACTTGCGCACGAGCTCCATATCGACCAAAACGGTGCGACCGTTATCTGGGACGCGCCAAGTTTGAGATTGCAGTTGAGATTGCAGTTTGAGATTGCAGTTTGAGATTCGAAGGTAGCAAATGCACGAAGCGTCCACCTGTCGTTCGACAGCGTGCTCGTTGGAATTGGCCGCGTTGGACTGCTCTTGACTACAGGCTAGGCGGCGTCGATGCGACCAAAGGTTACCAGTCACGCGCGCAAGATAGAAAAGATTAAGGTATGACTAGTGTTCGACGGCACTCAAAAGCCGCCGGGGCACACGGTTGCGTTGGTCGTTCGGTTGAAGGTGGGCTGGCCGGTGCCACCCGCAATACGATGGCAAGACGTGCTCGGGTACAGAGGTACAGAGCCATGATGTTGGTGCCAACGGAGAAGGCCATGGCGAGCACGTAGACGGCAACGACGATGCCGCCAACGATGGCGTTCGAGCCGCCGCGCTGCTTAAGCCACTGGACGGCGGCCTTTTGCGGTGGCAGCAAGACGAGCCATGCGAGCGAGAGCAATTTCATACCAAACGAGAGCGTGAGCATCATTGTGACTTGGAAGCGCACGTTGTACGTGTCATCGACAATGTCTTGGCGCGTCACGTGAAAGAACGAGTCAATGTACTTGTAGAGCACGGTCGCGACGGGTGTCGCGAGGTTGACGATCGATGTGACGAGACTGTGCACGACCCCTTCGTTGCCAACGTCGGCAATCTCCACCGCGCAGTAGGCCGAAATGACAAACCGAATCGCCGTCGGAAAGACGTCGGGCATGAAGCCACCGACAAAAAAGTACTGATTTCGCGCCAGCCCCCACGTCGTACAGTAGAGCACTGTGGCGTCAATCACGACAATCGCGATCGTCGAGAGCGCGATCGCGACGCGCCAGTTCCATTGGAGACCCCATTTGCCACACGCGTAGATGCAGACGGCAGTGAAGAGCGCGTTAAGGACGCTAAAGACACCGATGGCCATGGGTTCGACACCGGCCCACGTCGACGTGATGATCGGGACGACTGTCGCGTCAAAGTTGAAAAAGACGTTGCTGCAAAAGCGGAAGATGCAGATCTGCCACACGACACGGAGCTGGAGGAGTTCCCAGAGACGACCCAAATAGTCGGGCAAATAAGGCTTCTCGGTGCGCTCGTCGACAATGAGGAAGAGCGTGCAGTAGAGGGCAACCGCGCATGGCAAAAGCAGCGTCGCGTACACGTAGTTGGGGCTCATGGACCAGGAAAAGTCGCCGCCGTACTCGAAGCTGTTCATGCAAAAACCAATGACGACGTGGGGCACGAGGGAGGATGCGAACCGCGTTGCGTAAATCATCGATTGGAGCCGACCGCGGATCGCCATTGGCTCGCGCTGGGCATACTGCACGACCATCGCATCGGCCGAGACGTCGGCGAGGATGTAGCCAAAGCTGCAGACGCACGAGAGCAGGATCCAAAGCGCCGCGTCTTCGGTCGCCGATTCGTTGACCAGAGCTCGCTCGTGGGGCGAGAGGTCGGTCAAGTTGCCGGCGCGGAGGCGGTGCACGACAGCGTCCGACTTTGGCGCGAGCCCGCGGCTGAGGTACGGAGATGGAAACGGAAGGAAGCTCATGGCGCAAATCGAGCCGAGCGAGAGTAGCCACCCGAGTAGCATGTACGGTTTGCGCTTGTAGCCGCCGATCGGAAAGCAGTCGGTGAGTATGCCAAAGAAGATCTTGAGCGACCAGCACATGTTGACGAGCACGCTGTACGACGCCGAGTGGTACCCGTCAAAGTTGAGGTACTGCGTGAAGAGCGGGTAGGTGAGCGACGGAAGGAGGCCGTAGATCATGCAGACGGCAACGTACTGGCCCAAGAGCCCGATGGCTTCGCGGCTTGAGAGGTCGAGGGCACCGCCGGGGCGCAGCGCGCCTTCGTCTGGTGCCTTGGTGATAATGGTTGTCTGAAGCGTGAGTGCCAGCGTGACGTCTTCGTAGCTCGTGAGGTCGTCGTCCGCCGACTCGCAGTAGAGCCATATTTTATCGTCGTGGCCCATGCTCCGAACAAGCTAATTGAATTGTGACCATGGCCACCCGCACGTTGCGTCCGACCTGATCAGCGGCGTCGACCAGAGGCCACGTCCCACGGTGCCTCGTCGTCGCCCGTCTCCAGAGTACCCACGTCATCTTGCTACAGTACGCCCGGAGGTCGCCACCTATGTTTCGCGTTCGTACAAAGGGCTTGCCTGTACGACTCTAGAAGCTCGTCGTTTTATCCCTTGCTCACGAAATCACTTGCTTTTCAGATTTTACATCTTACAATAATGACACTGGTGGGCGACTAGAGTCGAACCGGCAACGTGCCCAGGTGCCAGCAGACTCGACACGCTACGATCTCTTGGCGGAATCCCACGTCCACGACTGTGTTCCCATCCTGGTGAATGCGCCATTTTATAACACACTCGAAAAGAGGGCAGCGACTGCTATCTATCTATTGCCCTTCCTCGCCGCTTTTGAGTGAACTAAGGTGACGTCCATGCAGCGTCTATTTGGCATGCAGGCGCTGTCCAACGCACCGCGCACCAGGTTGTCAGGTTGCGTGCGTGCCGAGAGTGGCAAGATGATGAGACCACCTCGACACCTCGCGAGGTACTTAGCTAGGCTCTCATTTCAGCCATATCTCAATCCCTTTTTGAAGTCGAGAGCAATCGCATTCCGCGCCATCGTGCCACATTGATGGCTACTTTTGGTGTCTGGCAAGCGCGGTGTCGTGGCAAAGACTGGTGCCAGGCATCAGATAGATACTGGTCAGCTTGATATGCCGCACTCCAAGGCAACAGCAAGAGCAGGGATGTACAAACTTCCCGCGCGATCACAGCGTGTCGTCTCATATCAGAATACCTCGAAAAGCCATCCACTGAACCATGGCCCTCTTAATCTGGGTTGTTGACCGGGACGGGTGCTTGCTTGACTTACAGGTTACCGACATCCCTTGCCACTGGATCGTACAATCGAAATCTGAGATCCTGCGCCGACATCAAGAACAATCATCGCCTCTCTACCGTCCGCCGAACTCCCGTCGACGGTACGTGGCGGGGTGGCATGCGGCAGAGTGGGACGGGCCACGCAACTGCAAGGTGCCGACCACTCTTGCGGAGTATACATCGTCGCCCGCATCACTTCCGTGCTGTTCATCGCGGCATCGCAAAGAAGGAGCTTCCATCAGTATCGTTTTCGTTTATAATAAATCTACTACCCTAACCCTTTCGCCGCCCTAGTCGCTGTGGCTCGTTGTCAACGCTTCGGTGGAGTCGACCCAGCCGCAGATCGCAACGCCGTTACGGACAATGGCCTCGCCACTCCCGCCCGCAATGCGATAGCACGCGGTCGATGGGAAGAGCGCCATGACGCTGCTCACAATGGCAAAGAGCAGCGCAATCGAAAAGCCAATCACAATGCCCCACGCCGCGCCGCGGTTGTAGCCGCCGCGCTTCTTGAGCCATTGGAGCGCCGCTTTTTGCGGCGGAAGGAGTCCGAGAAAGGCCAGCGATAAGAGCTTCATACCGAGCGAGATCAAGAGCACGTACGTCACTTGCCAGCGCACACGCACCGAGTCAGTCGCGAGGTCGGCGACCGAGACGTCAAAGTACGAGTCGACGACCTTGTAGATGACAGTGGCAAACGGCGTTGCGAGGTTGACAATGGTCGTAATGAGACTGTTGACGGCGCCTTCGTTGCCAATGTCGGCAATCTCAACCGCGCAAAACGACGAGATCGCAAACCGGATCGCGCTCGGGAGCGCTTTGGGCAGAAGCCGGCCCATGAAGAAGTATGGGTTCCGCGTCACGTGCCACGTCACACTGAGGAGGACCGTCGAGTCGATGGCAGCAATGGCCATCGTCGCAATAGCGATCGCGTGACGCCAGTTGAGGTTGAGGCCCCACTGCCCACACGCAAAGATGGCCGCGGCCATGAGCGCCGTGTTGAGCACGCCAAAGATCGAGTTGGTGAGCGGCTGGACGTTGGCCCACGCGCTCTTCATGCTCGGGATCGCGGTCGCTTCAAACGAAAAGAAAAAGTTGCTGCAAAATCGAAAGAGACAGATTTGCCACACGACGCGGAGCTCGAGGAGGCGCCAGAGCCGCCCCATGTACGCACTAAAGACAGGCCGCACATCGCGCTCCTCGACGACGAAAAAGAGAGCGCAGTAAATGGCGAGGAGACACGGCACAATGAGCATGCCAAACGCGGCGTTCGGCGTGATCGACCAGTCAAAGTTGCCGCCGTATTCGAAACTGTTCATGCACACGCCCGCAATGAGCTGCGGCACGACCGACGACGCAAACCGCGTGCCGTAAATGATCGACTGGAGCCGGCCACGAACAAGAATCGGCTCACGCTGCGCGTACTCGACCACCATGGCGTCGGCCGCGACATCTGCGAGCATGTAGCCAAAGCTGCAGATGGTCGAGAGGATGATCCAGTACCCGGCTTGGCTCGAGGCTTGCATGTTGACATGCATGCGCGCCGAGGTGTTGAGCACCGAGAGATTACCGCCGCGCAGTGTCGCGATCGTATCGTGCGACAGCGACGAGAGCGGCCGGCCCACGTACGGCGCCGGAAACGTGGAGAAGGTCATGCAGCAGATACAAATGAGCGCAATGCACCAGCCAAGCACCATGTAGGGCTTGCGCTTGAAGCCAAAAAGCGGAAAGCAGTCGGTGAGAACCCCCATAAAGATCTTGAACGACCAGCAAATGTTGACAATGGACGTGTACGACGCGGCTTGGTACCCGTTGAAGTTCATGTACTGAATGTAGACGGGGTAGACAAGCGCGGGCAGGAGGCCGTAGATCATGCCGACGGCCACGTACTGACCGAGGAGCCCAATGGCTTCGCGGCTAAGGATGTCGAGGACGCCACCAGGGCGAAGCGCACCGTCGAGTGAGTGCTCGCTCACCGTGCTCATCTTGTGCAGCTGCGTCGTCGACTGGAGCACCTCCCCTGAAAAGTACGTGGGCAGGTCGGCGTCGTCGTAGAGCCATATCTTCTTGGGGGTGGCGGGTTGCGGCGGCTGCTGCTTGTTCATCGCAGCCAAAGGCAAACTGGCAAAGGCTTCGTGGCACGATCGAAACAGACGACATGGGCTGCATACAGCAGCATTCGTCGATCATCTCAATCTGGATCGAGTGAAATTTGTCCCAGCCCCGTATGGTCATGTGAATTGCATACATTTACCGAGAGAGAGGAAGTCGACTGCTCCTTTACAAGCCGGATACCTACGTCCACAGAACGCAGCGGTGCCGATGCGTCGATGGGTTGTACGCTCGAGCGCGCCCTTGCCGCGGACATCTCGCTCGAATGGGAACGTCTAACAAAGCACGAGACGCCAAACGTACAACTTGTACACGTGGATGTCAGCCCCGTGCGATCATCAAGCCATGCCGAGTTGAAGGGCGAGGTAACATTCCCTAGTCTTGATGGGAACGATCGCTCTAGGGTGCAGGAACGGACGGTTCTGAGGCATCTTGCGACGTTGAAGTTGATGGGCGAAGTGTCTCCACGCAGAACAATACCTTATTCGCACTCTCCCCAGTACTATAAACAAATGCGTATACGATTGCAATGGTTCTAGAGCGACTACACGCGTACTGTCAACCGCTCGTCGTTAGACTCGTAGCACCGTATACGGTACCACAAGCTGGTACCACCAAGCTATCACGCAGAGTCATGTGATCGAAACACTGGCTTTTTCGACGTTGCCCGCTGTATCTACAACGTTTCTAGCATGCATGCCAAGGCCTGCGCGCAATGATTATCGTCGTCGCCGTTGTCCTTAGAGCAGCTCTACAACGTGTGCTCCACCACGCTGGCTTGGTGTGCTCCATCCACCACTTTGCCGTACGAATGCTATGAATGACGTGGCATCGCGAGAGACATATAGGGCTAGGGTTAAACTGTACTATTGACACCAACGACGGCACACACCGGACATTCCCCAACTTGCCGGAGTAAGTGCTCTTGTTGACGTTGCTGTCAGGGTTCACGAGCATCGCTTAGCGAGAAATTTCGATGACGCCCCTTTGCACACATGGGACGGCGTAGCACAAGGTGCGTATGCCGCTTCTTTGATGCACACGTGCCTGCCGAGCGACATTATTCGCCCGAGGACATAGCAACATCGTTCTCTCTTCCGATCCGCCGTGATGAAAGACGCAGCGTCGCTGGGTAGGCACAGCGAATACGTACGCTGCAACTGGACCAGGCGCATCGTTGTGAGTGCTGTCTCAGATGACCCTTCGCACGACCGCGCAATGTTCTGCCAAGCTGTCCAAGCAGTGAAAGAGAGGCTTACCACGAAAAACAAATGCGCTACAAAAAATGGGATCCGAAAATAAGAAGGTCCAGGCGATGTGCGCGCCAGCTTGAGCCGTCGCTGAAACCCCAGGGTTCGCCTCTGGTAGACGTTTCCATAGTCTTTCTCGAGTCGCTTGAACTCTCAAAGGAATGACACCTGTCATACTGTCACAAACAAAACGCCTGCGTGCGCGCTCGATATACATAATACTACGCGTCGTAGTCGTTGATAGTGCTTTAGAAGGGAATCGCTTTCCGAAAGGCGGGCCCGAGGCTGTCCTGGTCGATCGGGGGAATCGCGGTGGGCTTTGCAAGGCCGAGTTGGGTCGCATGCGCTGTGGAGATACCGCGGGTGGCCATCTCGGACACGGTGTAGATGGTGGCTGCCCACTCGAGGCGGTCGTCGTCGTTCAAGAACGAGAGGATGAGCATGTCGGACGAGCTCTTGGAGAGGCAGATGCAGAAAGGACGGTCCTTTGTCGATAAATACGAGAGTTTGACGCGGTGCAAGTCCATTTCGCCCTTCTCCTTCATGTCGGACGGGCTCAGCACCTCGTAGTACTTGAGGACGCCTCGTGCGACCTTGACGACGCGCTCGTCCCACTTGTCGCGACCCGAGCGCGACTTCTTTGTGAGCGTCCCCGTCTTGGTCGGCGGTAGCACGAGCGTGAGGCGGCGCGGCCACGGCGAGTGCACATCC